TCTTTTTTCACGAGTAAGATGATAACTGAACACAACTTTGAACGTCACTCAGGAACACTCGAGAGAAGTTTCCTCTCGATCTAGCAAAGGAACGAGCGTTTGAGCTGCACCGTTTCCCGGTAGAGCACTGAGCGCGAGCAACCGCCCCAATGCAAGCACTTATTGGTCCCAAATTATCACAGGGAAGCAAGACAGATACCAGCTGCGTCAAGTTTTCGGTAAATGAACAAGTGAAAGCTCAGCAGAAGCATGGTGGCTCGTAGCATCTACAACACTCGCTTCATGAAGGAGATGTGAGTAGGGAAAGCGCGCGTGCACGGCACTCGCTCGTGCAACCGAACTCGCTCGCGTCAAATAGTACACTGACGGCAGCTGCGTCGTTGCCCGGGGACTCCGGTATCCAGGTAAAGATTTTGTCTGCGGCCAGTGAGCTGGAAAACGTTCTTGGGTGGCGAACGTTTGAATGGAGCCCAGGTAACAATATGCCACGGTTTTGTTTTGCTCTCAAAGCGCATGGTTTGTCACTCATACTCTCGAGTGAATAAAAGTTCTCGCAGGAACTAGCGCCCGGACCCCACTAATAATGCATCAATGGAAGTTACTTCCGACTGCACCACTTACAAGACTCGTTCTCCCTTAGCAACATAATTGCTTGGTTTCCAGCTCGGCTGCGCTCAGCTGTGAAATAAGTCCATATACAAAGCCTGCAAGCCATAACGCAAACCATAAACATATTAAACATAACATATAAAAACTGACATATTAATAGAAAGGCAATTCTATCAGAGCCTCGCTCCTCGTGGAAGCGTTGTCAATGATAGATATATTTTTGGACCACTAGCACACAAGGAAGATAGCAATATACACAGTGAAAAAAAAACTCGTATTGTTTGTAAGAAATCATGAACGACGATCAGAGTATCAGAAACAATTTCTTGGCCGCTCAAAACATTTTTTCATACTTTGAATTCATGGACCGGGTCGCCTTTTCTTTCTAACAGATCGAATAACTTTCTTCTCGTTTTAAACCTTGTTCGGATGTTTGAAAAAATGTGTGCCAGAGACAACACACTCAGCATCGAAAAATTTACAAGCTGATATTATTTCGGAGATGGCTCATATATGATAATGAAAGTATATCCACGTTCATTGATAGATACAATTGCCAATATCAGGCAACTTACAATACCAGACAATTACAATAGCAGGCAAATTAAAATAGCAGGCAAATTAAAATAGTAGGCAATTAGGTGATAAATTGAGGAAAGCAAGATGTAGTTACAACTTTTTTCGAAAAAATGTCTGTAGAATTGAGCCAGTTCACACCACACGTGGAGCTGAATAAACACACACGCATGACACGACAGCTTTTCGATCAATTTGAAATTTTTTTACCCCAAGACTTTCACAAGAATTTAATCTTCCCAAACTCTACTGTAAGCTTCATACGACCAAGTTCACATATGTCGTACAAGAATACGGCACGATTGAAAATTAATGAATAAATAGACGGTCTTTTCATCAAAACTAAATACGATCAACGGTTCCTGGAAATTATTTTATATTTGACAAATCAACTTTAAAGGCAGAATATGTAACCGCAAAGGAAAAGACGTATTGCAAATGCAAATATTTCACTACTGAATTATTTCTTCAATGAGTAAAAAGTGCGCAATTAACTTAGAAATAATCGAAAGGAAATTATTTTCACTTCGACCGATACCAAGCTTTGCTACTCATTAACTGTTAATCTTAAATATTTTTCGGAGAATATTCTATGAAGAATATTTTCATTTCGTTTCGTAAGAGATAAATCAAATTTGAAATGGGACAATAATTCCTTACTTATTGTTCACAACACGTATACAGTTCAGGGGCATTTCGATTGAACATTCGGCTCACGTGGAACGGTTGAATATATTGAGCGATGTGCGTAAAATACTTAGCTTGAAAATTGTTATTTAATTTTATTTTTATTTATTTTATTTAATTGTTTCATTGTACTTAGCTTGAAAGGCACCAGACTGTAAAATGAAAATTATATATAACGGTATTTGGACACTAAATTGCGCAATCCGCGAAATGAAAATGTAATACGTAAATATAAGGGAATAACAATTGTTTTCCGCAATGCACACATCTTTCTTCAAGATTTTAGTATAATAATTGAATAATGAGCATTCATTCGATGATTAGCGATACCGATACAATTCCTTCAAGATCGCTCACGATGAAAACATTTACAGCGTCAGTGGTTGATCACAGCATCAAAGAAAACATCACGTATGTTATTATATTAGGTCACAAGCATGCATAAGAGGCCGTCTGATATCGAACACTTAATGCCGCACACTCAAGAGCCTTGGTCGTGAAGTAAACAGGATCATTGATCGCTCAAGTTCACCAAGATTCTTTATACTCAGCAATGGAGGTCAAAGATATTGTGTCTGACATAACATTCCCTTGATTAAGTTCACTTAAATTTATCGACCTTGCAAAAGGCTTACCTTTTGAAGTCGACATCCGTATTTTGCCCATTCTAAATGAAAGCTATTTAATTTCAACCAGAACAAAAGCTCATTACGTCTGCAGAACACTGCATTCATCTTTATTTTAATAAAGGACTTTCCATGCTTTTATTCTTATACAATCAACGAACTTCAACCCATAACAATCGACGAATTTCAACCGAAAAAATTATTTGTATAGCTACGCATCTTTGTTATAAGCACGAGTATACTAATTCAGTAATCACGAATATACCCTCTTGGCAATCTATTTTAAATGGAGAAAGACGACATTTTGGTTTTGTCATCTCATTGTTTGTTACGTGTTTCAGCATATAAGATGTTCTTCTACTATTGCATTAATAACTACATACTTTCCCTTACATTAACATAGGAACATTTTTAACAGTTAATAAATATTAGTATTTTCAATGAGAGAGCGCGGTTGCAGCCGATACAAGTTGGAAGTAATCTTATCTCTTCGGTGCTACCGTCCGTCCGCTCAAACGCGCGTCTCGTTAACGCTGCACCACTACTGCCCAGAACGCAGCTTTGATAGGCTGAGAGCTCCACCGTGCATGCTAAATCAAGAGCACTCGGTGAAGCGTTGCGCATTTAAATTCATGAAATTATTATTAGAAAAATATCATTCGAACAAGAGACATACAGTGACGCGTTGAATTCCTTAAACAGTGATGTTACTAAGTGTTCCAAAAAGTAAAGCTCAACAACAAACAATTGTTGAACAATAATCCTATGCAGCAAAATATATTTTGAACTCTGACATCTGAAACACGAGCGCATATATTCAAGCTTTCAGAGGTCAAGGAGGAGAATCGCAAAAGGAAACAATAATTGTAGTTAATAATCACTCTTTGTCAAAATTATTTAATTGACATCGAGTTCGTTGTCAGACAGCTAGTGAAGACAGTGAAGAGTGAAATTGCTTTCCCAAGTAGTCTCTATAAATATGTTATGAAATATAATCCAACATGAAATATTATAACAACCTTAGAGCACAAGAAACGTTTAACATTGTGGATGAATTTATCATGATTGATTTTAACGACATGGTAAATAGAATCGCACTCCCAAACAGTGCAGATTCGAAAGTCAAAGCCCTTGCTCCATTTATAATATAACGTTACACATTTACTGTAATACTGAAAATCAATTAGAAAATCGTGGTTAACAGGAAATTATCATTGACAAGTCGCTGCAAAATTGACGGAATAGAATTCGGGAATAACACGGTACCAATACGTAGGCCTACGAGATGAAGAGCGCAATATACTGAAAATCGTTAACAGGAAATTATCATTGACAAGTCGCTGCAAAATTGACGGAAAGCAATTCGGGAATGACACGGTATCAATACGTAGGCCTACGAGAAGAAGAGCGCAATAGTGCCTACGCAGTGTTGAGCGTTGCAGTTCATGGCACACCGGGAAGGCGGTGCTCCACCGGATGTGATATTGGCCGCGGGTATCAACGAGCAGTGCACTAGCAACGCGATTCTTGCCCTGGAGAACTTAGACTAGCAACAGCCCAGCTTTAGGATGTTATTAGTGAAAAAAACGCTAACTCTGTTTATAAAAAAACGTTTACCATTTTGTTGTTCTGCACAGCAAGATGGAAAACTGGAGCTTGTTTTGCACTACTTCTATCTAACATTACCATAATATACAGTCTTTGATTCAAGTTCCTATGATAACATTGAGCAGAATCATCATATATGAAGTCAGATATTTGTAATTCGTATTGATTAGCTGTAAAACGAGAAGTAGGTTAAATGAGAAAGCTTCTGTCAGCCCCGTTATTGTCCTGGATTGCATTGAAAAAAAACAAGAATAGTAAAAAGATTCAGAATACCAACTCATCTCTATATCGAAAAAAAAATCATTTTTCTCAGACTCACGTTTCAGCTCAGTCTGAACCCACATAATTCTCATTTCTTATAATACCCTATTCGGAACAATGAAGGAAAAATCTGAAGTGACAAACGACTTGCAGTAACACCAATAATTGCAATTGTGTTTTCCTTAACTTAATAAGTGATAGGTATACAAAATATTAGCCAATATAATGCAGAGATTGACCAAAATGTCATTGTATGATTAAAAAGGGCATGCTCATAGAAATTTAACAGCTCTATCACTGGAATTTAATTTTCTTGAATCCATATTGTTGGATCTATTCTAGATTAATAATACTTTAGTTCACTTCTTCAGATTCCATAAATAATTCTTAAAAATTTATAGCACTAGTATTCTGACTAGATTTCAATCTTATTTTCACCTTTACAGAATAATGAACATTTTTAAACAGATCTTCCTGTACTGCATAAAGTATGCATGTACAAACTAGTTGATGCAATTCATTATCAAAAGTTTCAGACTAATTGAAGAAATTTTTAGAATTAAAAAAATATATGAAATTTTAGCTTCATAAACTAAATTTTTGAAAGAAACAAATTTTAAGAGTTAAGTCAATTTCATTCTAAACCTTAATAATAGAAATGATGATGAGATTTAAATGAAAACAACCAATTATCATACTCTCGAACTGGCTATAAAAGGACTTTCGGACCTGAGGCAACTATGAAGCAATCTCCTGTGGTCATCCAAAGCTATAATAAAATCAAAGACTTCACCCAGAGCCGCATTAGACATTGAGAGGTGAGTCAATATAATCTTTAATTTGAGTCTTTCATTTTGCTGGCAAAAGATATTTTATTCAAAGATTTCTATCCTATAAACTTTATTCTACTTCTCTAAATTCTATAAATTAATACAATCAGCAATTTTTTTCTTCTTCAAAATTGAAATTGATCTTGTAGATATTAGTTAATCAAGCTGAACTTTGCTGTTATTTAATTGGAATAATGTACCAAGATGTTGGCTCAACAATTTGAACTGAAGAAAGTTCCAATCAAATATGCACAAGCTTGGTACTACAAGTAACATTGGCTATGGTGTAACCAGGCATATTAAATCAATAAACATAATTTCATTGGGTATAAATGACAGGTATGATTAATTAACAGGTCATGATATGAGAGTTTATTAGAGATTATGAGAGTTTAGAGATACAAGATTATGAGAGTTTTTAAGTCATATATTAAATTATTGACCTCCTATATTTAATATACGTTTTTCTTGAACAAATGAACTTACCTAGTTCTAGCTGCAGTCCAGACTCCAGATTATTTTTAAAAGGTATCAATGTTCATAAAATATTCACATTTATACACTAACGTGACAGTCTATAATGCCTCAATACTCATATAAAGCCTTACTAACTTTATTCAACCTAAAATACTTCTTTAATGGTATGAGTAAGCCAGAAATATTGCAATGTGTCAGCCCCACAATTATCAAAGTTTTTCCATGTCAGAAAAGTTGGTCATTGCATATTAGCCATCTCAATCATAATGCATATGATATTTGCATGGTAAATGTGTAGGCAAAATATCTTCTGATGAAAAATTGTGCTATTGATGCCATGCCAGAGATCTCTAGGTATTCACTCACTTTCTGCACCCTGGCCTATGGGCCATACCAAATATGAAATAATGACTTACTGCCTCTGGGTCTGCCCATCTGTGGGTCATGAGTCATGACTAGAACATTACTGCCATTTTAATAACATAAAATTCTAGCAAAAGAAATTGTATCCAAGATAAATATCAATAAAAATACAATATATAAACTTGAAAATTTAATATTAAAATTACAGAGAAATACTAATTATAGAGAAACACTATTCATAAATATTATTTAATATTTAAAAAATATATTTCTGTAGACTGTAAGAACTGAAAATGTCAGAAGATGTACAGTATATTTTAGCAAAATTTTATAGTACAAATCAGTCTTCACTCCTCAAAGTCAAAATTTAAATTATTTTTATATTTTATTTTGGTTTACACAAAATGCATCTTCTTGCTGATGGTAATGGGTAAAAATATAACTCAGTACTCACTGCAGTGAGTGACAGAGAGTGCATTTTCTCATCAACAAAAACGTGAAGTAACAGATGGACAGACAGACAGATGGACATGGCAAGCAAAATATATAATAATAATAATATAGCAGTTTCAGCATTAATTAGGCCGTAGGCCTGTTGTTGATTCTTAACATTGCAGAACATTCATGGTATTTTGCGGTGTCAAACTTGCAACTCACTGTTACAATTCTGATGTGCTTAACCGCCCGGCCTCCTTGCCGATTCTGACCAGAAACTGCACAGAGCAGGGATCGAACCCTCGCTTCTCTGCGCCAATCTTGGTACTATGAACTTTAACCACTGGGCTACCCTGCCCAACCACTGGGCAGGGTGGCCCAGTCCCAGTGGTTGGACAGCCAGCAGCCTTTTTCCATAAATGAGAAAATGGGCTGACAACTATTTTTCCATTCTTAAACTGGAACTTTTGAAGAAGACCAAATGATTTTAGCTCATTTATTGCAGGTTTCTACAAGATTTCTCAGTCCCAGGCAGCAGGCACTAGCGCTAGGCTAGCAGATTTTACAAATAAATTTACAGGTGGCACTGTGCTTGACTGCTTGTGCATTATTATTCTTGAAAACTTTATTCAAATTTGTTTGCCCATTTAGATCTATAAAGAAGAGTATGATATTTACTAGAATGTTACGAAATTTCTTTGGATCTCGTTGTAGCAGTGTAGCTTTGGAACTCAAAGCTTCTAAAATAAGTATATAATATCTGTGCAACCGCAAATTTTGCGCAAATAGGCCGCAGGCAAAATTAAAGCTGATGCGCAAGAAATTTGAAGAACGAGAACCCCCCAAACAAACACGAAACAATAAAGGACATACCTGTTATTGAAAAGCTTTCCGAGTGTATAGCGACACTCATTTTGATTGAATATATCAATCGATTAAACAACCACAACCACCTAAAAGATGTTCCACCTTTAGGCACACAAATGTAAACAATGAACAACTGACATTCTAGGTGCGCAAACACTTTTCAACGTTCCGCATTCTGATTTTCGAAATATGAAATAAATTTAATATTTTCATTGTAGTGTTATTTTGACTATCACTTTTCGAATTGTAAATTAGAATCTTTAATCGTACTTTAGTTGTACAATTTACTTTCACTATAAGTTTTTTTGGTTTTCATTATTTTTTTCAAGCTTCATGGCTCAAACAATTGATATGATGGACCGCCTCTAGAATTGATATAATGGACCGCCAATACACTCTCATCCTTATGACTTGCTGTTGTCATGTTTGCTAGATTTGCTGATATGTTGAACCATGTCAGTTCCAAAATGTTGAAGCTGCTAGCAGTCCTAAATTTAGTAATGGAATTAAAATGGTTTATTTTACCAACAGAAGTTTGGAGCTGGTCAATAGCATGAGCAGCCCTCATGTATGGATGATAGGTATTCTACTGCTGTTGGCAGTCCGAACTTCTTCCTCGTCAGTAGGCAGGCAACTCAGCAATGATGACTTCTACAAAATTCGTGATTCATCCAGTTCTGACTCCAAAAATGTGGCTTATGCTGAAATTATTCCAAAGAATATCACAAATCCTGCACCCACCAGGCATCTGGAGATGCAGAGGAGCACACAACATAGAAAGCCCAATTTGATTGAAGAACGCGAAATTGACGTAGGGAGTTTGGAGAAGTCGCATGTCAGTCGTGAACTCACTGCAGGTAGCATAAACAGAAACATAATTTCTGAAAGTTCAGATGAAGAAGCAGCATACCTGTACAATTCGATTGTCTTTAATCGTTCAAAAAGAAATTATTCCCATCATGGACGAAGTGTCTACGATCATGAGCTAAAATTTAACTCAGGAAGGTCACAGGCTGCTTTTGAAACCGGCAGCTTGCATCTAAACATAATCAACGAAGATGTACAGGATAGTATACATTATGGATCTTCCTTTTACCGTCCTTATTCTTCTATCGATGGCATTGCTTCAAACATAAGGCTATTGAGCTTTACACTGCCTCGAATAAAGGCTTACAATCATAATATACAGTCTCGTTTCGTTGAAGTGGATGAGAGTAGAATAAACTTGAGAAATTCATATGCTGGACTACCATCACGCCGTCATTCATCATATAAAAGACGATATCCTCGTTTTCAACGATCTCCGCATCAGTCACGCCCGAGCTACAGTGCTCGTCTGGCTGATGTTCCATTTTCTCAAGACCCGAATTATCACCGAATCCAAGGCGTTCACTCGGAGTCTCGAACATTCAGCCAGAGCTCGGATTTGTTGACCCAAATAAATTCTCATTCCCAAGAGAGACAATCCGATATGCACCGTGAACCAAGCTATTCTCAATCAATTTTCCCAAATTCTAAAATAAATCCCGTCAACAATAATTACCCAAGTAACAGTAGCCTACTCGCGATTCTTGATTCACAGACATATATCCCATCATTGGACTCTCCAAAAACTCCTAGAGCGCGTGCGTATCACGAGTACCAACAATTGCCGAATTCAAGTAAGAGAGTCATAGAAGAGGAAGCGAGAAATTCACTTAATGTTATCGACAACCATGAGGAAGGCAGGTTTCACAATCCTAACGATATTCCTGCCGTTCGTTACCAACATTCAAATTTTCACGAGGAAGCGAACTCTTTGGATGTTTTCCCTGAACTAACGACCGTAAGCGCAGCTGTCGATGATAGACTTGCATACGAATTAGCGGAAGATAACGATGCAACCTCAAGAAGTTCCAAGGATCCTGCAAACCTTCAAGTTGGCAAGTCCCTCAACATCTTCTCTCGATACGGATTTCTAACTCTTTCCATAAAGGTCAGCTTAACTTTTTGTTACCACTTAAATTCTCAAATTTAATTTAATCTAAAGTACACAGCTTTACTCTTCATCAAAATTCATTGTAACAATACTTCCGGCAGGTTCGACCACCAGTTGGTGTCCACGACTATCTTTTCGTTGAAAACACGGCTGAAGTGTTTCAGAAAAATTCATATTGGAGTCAACGCGAACGGAAAAAGCACACAGGAGAATTTGATGACCACTTTTATATTCACTTCTGCGAGAACTTGAACGAGCTCCTCATCGCCTACTTCGATCACTTTACGATAGAGGGTGTGCCAAAAGCACACAAGGTTAGGATACTCTCTTGATTTGATTACGAAAACTTTTGATAAATTTCGTAAAAAATGTGTCTTCTTGAAGAAAGAACCAGTGTCATGTTGTTAGATACGACACTGGTTCTTCCATTCAGTGTCATGTTGTTATATATGACACTGGTCCAACATAGTTGTTGTAATCGCTTTAAAATTACACTAAGCCAGAACCATTATTTCTCGCGAACTTTTAAATAAATTTCTCCGCAGGCATTCACTGCTTCATTGTCAGCAAGGGATTTGGCGAGGCAGTTTGGCATAAACTCGTCTTTCCTACGAGGAAGATTTTCATTTGTTTTGGTTCGGCTTTTCAGACGAAAAATGCGCAATACTCTGGACGGTCAGTAAAAGTTTTGAATTTGAATGACTTTCTTGCCTTTTGCTGTAAAGGCATGTATATATAAAAAAGAATAGATTTAGCAACCGCACTCATAGCACAAATGCAACCTTGACAATTTAAAATATTTTTTTGACAAACTAATCTCAATTTCCTTCATCGCAAGGTCCGTTGACCGTACTCGCTGCTTTGCAAGCGGCGCTCCGATCTGTTAGGATTGGATCCGAAGAATCTGTTCATCGGTTCGTCGACAGGTGAGAGCCTTTCCTTGGTCTTAAGAAAATTTCAAATCGAAGATAATTCAAAAGCAAGTGTACATGGTAATTTTTTGACCTCAGTGTCAAGTGAAATATTTTTGGGAGTACTTGTGTATTACATCGTTCATAATTCCAATGTAATTTTAGACTCCGTATTTATCAAAATTGCGCGATGAGTTTGGTATAAAAGTCACAGAGGTGACCTGCACCCACAGGTTTGGCACGCACGTCATCAAGGAATTCGAGGTGGGCGACGTGATGTATCAGACGTTCGTCTTCGGGGAGCGTATCTACAAGCAGCTGAAGAACACATTCGTCACTGTCCGCAGGTTTGTTCTTCCCAGGGGCAAAATCATCAAAATCTTGAGAGTTCGTTACTCCGTCAGCCTATCACTGACGGCTTTCCAAGCTAAACCCACCAATCACAGACGAAACACTTTCCAAGAAGTTTGTATAAGTGAGTTTTACGTATGTCCCCACATCTCCATACCGAGCAGTCGAAAGGGGGAAAAATCGGCTTGAGTTGACTATTTTGCAAATTCTAGACAAATTACATATAAACGATACCTAATCCCAAATTTCGACCAAAGATAAGAGAGTTCCGATTGCCTTCAACAGATGGAGCGCCTGAGGTGGAGCATGACTTCAAGTAAATTTACCCCTATGTTCAGTAATACATTAGCCGTCAATGCAATTCGTATCTAAAAATATGGAATCGAGGGTTACTATCGGTAGTCAAAGCCTTCAGCATGCGAACTCTGCCTTGAACCGATAAACTTCAACTTGTAGGTACGAAACATCCACGTACGAGGTTTCCTGTATATAAATTATGATACATTACAGTTCACTCTTAAAAACATCAGTAATCGTAACAAAAATCGTATTTTTGTTCCAGTGAAAGCCATCTAGAGCAGCTACAACTATATTTCTCACCGAGATATGCTACCAGCATCGGCGAGATACAACTGGCGTCAGGTAAGGATCAATATAGAATTATTCGCATTGGACTACAACAAACGGAGATTTTTTTCACTTCATGTTGTTATTGGGAGAGATTAATGACGAGGCTTCATGAAAAGAAAAAAAAACGTTTAACCTAATGAAATATAAGCCAGTCAGAAAACCAAGATTTTATAAGTTTCACACGCTGCAACGCACGTTTTTTAAACTTGTTGATTTCTAGGCAACAGCAACCTGACTAAAATCCTGGAGAACGGCGGAGCTGTGCCGCCAGAACTTCTCGTCTATCCCAACATTTTCAAAGTGAGACCTTTGAGAAATTTGTACGAGGAACAGCACGGAATAATCTGACAAATAAGGCGCGATGTCATCTGTATAAGACTCAAGTATTTCTGCACTTAAAATGGAAGCCATTTATAATGAGCGCCGCTAACGTTCCGATTCATTAAAGAATTTGATTATTCAGAAATACAATTAATTATTAGAATGCTCGATTTCAGGGAGGATGATTTTTACGGATATGTACAATAATCCGTTCGCGTTTCTTATTACAGAACGTTCGGTTATTTTGAAAACAATACATAAAAAATTGCATAGATTTGTTGAAATATTGAGGGCAAGTGACTTTAATAATAGTTTCAACAGGCATTTGACGATCCTGCTGTTGAGACGGAGCTGGAGCGGCTGGAAGGAGAGGTGGTGCTGAGCCTGAAGCTGGAGAAGATCACTACAAGACTCCCGCAGTCAGCCACCATCAGGTGGATGTCAGAGGTGCTCGATAACTCCTTAGCTCTCTACTACCATAACCTCGACTCAACCAGGGACACTACCTAAGCAAAAATCGCTAAAATTTTATATCAAAGATGTTAACAACTTCGACAATAAATTGAACACTAATACAGTGCTCGTAATTGGAACCCCTAAGATACGATTCAAGAGATTTAATTACTCAAGTCAATAAATTAAATTCTTCAAACGCGCAAGAGTCGATATTTGTAGACTTTTGCCATTCATCAACACTAAATATATTAAACCAAAACGAAGGTGGGACACACACTGTCGCGTCGTCCAAATTGCACAAGTCGAGAATAATTTGTCACTAACGAATAACGGAGGGCCTGGAATGGCCAGAAAGACGACGCCTAAGGGTACGTACACAGTGAAAGCCGGTTGCCAGCGTGCTGGTTACCTGCTGAGGCTGGCGCCTGAAACAAGCGCGAGAGGTTGTTCACAGTGGAAGCAGGAAACATGCTTGTGCATTCCCTATAACGATTGATAAAATCTCTCAATAATACGAATCATACAGTCAAAACTCATTAGAAATGAATAAATCGCATGATAAATTCATCATATAACCCGTCAAACTCTCTGAACCGCTGATAAGCTGTTAAAAAAATGTTAAGAAGAAATTTGATCATGAGAAAAGCTGAGAATTTATCGAAGTCTTTACTGTCTGTTGAACCTGCACCATAAACATGTCCACATCACCTGCACCATAAACATGTCCACATCACCTGCACCATAAACATGCCCACATCAACTGCACCATAAACATGTCATCACCTGCACCATAAACATAAACATGCCATGTCCCATTGTCCCATGTCCCAAAAAAAATGACCATATGCCAAGCAGGTTGAGCAGATAAGAATGTGCAGTACATTCCGGTAAATAGGTATAAGCAGGTTGTCGGCAGAAGCCTATTCGTACAGGTTTCCACTGTGAACACTTACATTATTATCCTATGTTCATTCTTGTGGCCGGTTGGAGCAGGTTGCCCGCGCGGGCAAACCTGCTTCCACTGTGTACGTACCCTTAGGGTGTGACCAAAAATATGGTCAGGGTAAGTGACCAATAGAATGGACAGGATAACAACAACGGAGCTCATACTCTAACAGGAGAATATCTTGCGGGCACTAAGATGAGAGACGTGCCGTGATACAGCCGATCATATTTAATCTGCATGGTAAATTATAATTATTCGAGATGCTCCGAATTTTAATCTATCCTAAAGAAATTTTCTACGTTTCTCGCGTAGCACAAAACAAACATAACATAATAAAAAAGAACTTGCCAATTGCAAGAGAAATTGAAAGTTTGTCCACTTAAAAAAATTTGCTAGCTATACCAGATTCGAATGGACGATTAGTGAAAGCGCCTCAGAGTGGTCGGGAGGAAATCAGTCTTTCCCCCCAAAAAAACATAAAAGATTTTAATCAATTAGCTATTTTAGAGTGAATAAAAACAAACAAGCACAGGATTCAATTTTATGCTGATGATTTCACTTTGGCCTTAGATTTGGACACTTTTTTCAGTTTCTTAGTCTTTTCTGACTTCAAAGAAATAACGCTTGGTTTCTTCTTGGGAGCTCCCATTGAGCGACTTGGAGTGATATCGTCAAGACCCGAGTCAAACTCAGAGATGGTCGCCATCTTTGGCTGGGCTCCGCTCTTCTGCGCTAGCACTTTCTTGAACCTGCAAAAAAATATGGTATGTCAATAAAAAATTGCACTATCTTAATAAATATTAATCTCATTGCTGTTGTTAATGCCTAAATAATTCATATTTGACAGCAAAGGCTGAATGTATGGCAAACTTTGGTCAAAAGTCAATTTATTCGGCGACTTTCAGGACTAAAAATTGGAAATCCTAAAGCCAAAACTCCGTTATTGATGCAATAAAATAAATTAAATTTGAAATGCAAGATCAAAATTGTATTTCTTCAAATCAAATTTTTTTTGTTTTATAGGATATTCCATTTTCGTTATTGAATCCAAACTTTTTTCAAACATCAAGCATCAATGTATTCAAATACATTGAGCTATCAACATTCACTTTTGGAAACCTCCATCAATCCTCACTCCAGAAACCTGGACACTCACTGAGCCTTCTGCCTAACAACTTGTTTCTCCTGATGGAGTTTGTGAGCTGCCTGGGCTCGGTAGGTCTGGTGAGCATGCAAACATGAGGGCGCGTCTCGCAAGCCAAAGCTCTTGGCGTAGTGTCCCAAATGCAGGGCTTTGTAGCAGAAGATTTGGCGCATATCGCGAGGATACGAGGCATAGGCGCGTATGAAGGACATGTAAGCCTTGGTTGCCATGCTCAGGGCTGTGGTGTCGGAGAGAAGCAGATGCTCGCACTGAAGTTGTAATTTTGTGGCGCCCTCCTGAAGACTACGGGGCAGCACCTGCACAATACCGTAAAAAAATTAATCTAAGATTAATACAACAGGTTACAAACCATGTACAAAAAGGTTTTGTAAAAGGGTGATGAGTAACGATTAAAGTTAGGCAATAACTTCACAGGGAATCTATTCAGAAATGTGGTATTCAAATAGACCAGCAGTAAATTAAGCTTAACTTTCAAGTATGGCTGTTAGTAAATGAGAAATTCCTTCTGAAATTAAGAATTAAGAAGCGGAATGACGAGTAGAAACTTATCGATAAATTAATTAAGCACGTTAATAAATGGATAACAACGGATGAAGATTCTTAAAGGAATTGACACAATCGAACTTACAAACTCAGGGTCAACCTTTGGAGGACGGAGGATAAAGGCTCTGAGTATCTTCTCCACTTTGATTTCACTGAGTCTGCAAAAAAATACGATTTCAATAGAAAACTTCATGATAAGAACGAAATAAAATTACAGCGATTGGTGGTCATCGCCGTAACCCTCTACTTAGGCGTGGAAACTCCGAAGTGATCTATTGACTGCCACTAAACATCTCAGTAATACATTTTTTTAAAAAAGTGGTGCGCACAACAATTAATTGAAAGTCTTAACTCGTGTATTGATATTCAACAAAAGAGTAGCGTTCATGATATTCATGCATTGAGAATATTGTTTTTAGAAAATTCAAGTTTTGAAGTTGCAATATTTATGATTAACTTTCAGCTTATTATGCAGGTCAAAGTCAGCGTCCATGTCAGTTGCTTTACACGTCTACATCGATCACATGATTGGTTGTCGTCTTACTAAACGTCTCATAATATAATAATTCCAATGACTAACGACCATGCTGAGGTGCAGTTGCAAGGCATTATTGTGCGGTGTTGCTAACTTTTCGGTAGCACCACTGTAACAGGTTGCTTTTCTATGCAACCCTTACATGAATTGTAATTAAGTATGACCTGAGGGTGGTTCGGTTGTAGCTGGATCCGAGGATATAGAGGGACAGCGTAAACGATTATATAATATACTTTTAGGATTATAGTTCGGCTTACAGTTTAGGATAATCGGTTAATAAGTTTATAAGTTGGAGCTTTAACACTGATGTCTTCGGCGTCCAGTTGGAGTATGGATAAGTCTAGAGTGTATCTTCTACTCTGACATTAATTTAGGCTTACTGTCCTGTTTGACATGGACAGGAGCAATACCGTAGCGGTCCTCGCCCAAGACTCGCGTTTCCGCGTCTAGGCAGAGCTCATATAGCTACGCTAATTGACGTCACCAAGGGCGTGACTTGATGAACAGGAAAGGCTAATACAAGGAAATGCTCATGAACATATCGCATGTGAAGGATCTTATCTTTCAACAAGGAAGACATCGATCAGGAAATATCAAGGGACAAATGGTATCAACATTGTCATCTTACATTATAAGCAATAAATTATTTGTGGGGTAACAGCGAGAAGGTATTTAATTAGTCACTTTGGATTGCTGTCACAAAACGCTCTCTATAACAGCTGGAGCTTTCATATTCGTGCACTTAGGATACATTGTTTGCACCATACGACTGTGTGACTTGAAGGTATGTGTTCTCACAGTGATACTACCTCTAACACACAAATGAAAAAATGCAATTTTACTCATAAAACTGGCTCCAAAATTCAGTGAAAACTTACGCAATTTTACTTTTCTCGAGCTGCTCAATGAAGCCCGCCTCCGAGGGAGCGAGGACCAGCAGAGCGTCGCCGCGGGTGTTAGCGCGGGACGTGCGGCCCACGCGGTGCACGTAATCCCGCACCGACGTCGGGCCCGTGAACTGCACGATCCAGGACACGCTAGGCAGGTCCAGGCCCCGCGCCGCCACGTCCTGCCGACAACAAATGACATATTAACACTGCATGCAGGGCACGTTTGGCGTCACTAAGGCATTAAATGTGATGTAACAACTGACTTCTCAACACTGCATGCAGGGCACGTTTGGCGTCACTAAGGCATTAAATGTGATGTAACCACTGACTTCTCAACACTGCATGCAGGGCATGTTTGGTGTCACTAAGGCATTAAATGAGACGTAACAACTGACTTCTCAACACTGCATGCAGGACACGTTTGGTGTCACTAAGGCATTAGATGAGACGTAACAACTGACTTCTCAACACTGCTTGGAGGATAAGCTTTGCGTCACTTTTTACAAGAAGGCCAAACCTGGCCTATTCATCAGCGCCGACACTAATGTACCACTATACCATACTTTCAGTAAGGAATAAAATGAAGGGTAAGAATACACTTCTCAACGCTGCAAGGGAAATACGTTTGGTTAATTATTTAATTAATTAATTAAGAATCAAATGAGAGGTTGGTTTACATAGATGATATTCTTGCAAATTTTCAACCGCTAATCTTAGGTACATTAGTACATTATACATGTGACTTTGAAGATATCGATTATGGCTTAAAAGAAGGCCGTGCCAACGATTCATGAATAATTATTAAGAAAACAACTCACCGTACTAAGGAGGACACCAGAACTTGCGGTCCGAAACTGGTTGAAAACGTTTGTACGTTCCTAAGGAAAAAAGAGGGAGGCTTTAATTAGAACTCAAATTTTGTACAGCGAAGAAGTAGCAATCAAGTATTAGCAAACGCTTTTAATTGAAGAACGATTCGAGCTTTCCCGGTAGCTATCATTTCAAGCTTAAATACCGAATCCGTTTGAAAATGAATGCTATGGTTACATAAACAACAGGATCGAAAGTTAACATTGAAGTAATAATTAAAGTTTGAAGTTTCTTTAGTGTAAGATAAGGATGATTTGAAGATGTAAAACGTGAATGCGGGACCTACCTAAAGTACAAATTAATAGACCAGGAAAACTCACAGCCTGCGACATGTTGCCCCTCAGCTGCATGAAGTGAATAAGAGGCTCATCGTCTACTTCCACGTCAGCTTTTTTAGCTTCTCCCGCCAAAGGTTTTTTCTTCTTCTTCTTGGCATCAAAGAAGTCCAGCACTTGATCAGCTTGCATCTCTTCTTCGCTCTTGACTGGAGTTTTCTTCTCAATTCTCCCATACCTAACAACATTTAATCATGTCAACTAAGGTCTAAGATTTTCAACCAATACACAAATTCAACAACATACTCTGCTAAAAAAAATCCACTTCTTAACTCAAAAAAGACGCGAGTATTGAAAACCGTAATGAAAATTCCGAATTTCGAAGTAAGCAAATAAAAAACATATATAAAGGAAAGAAAGCCGTCACGTTTCCCGTAAATTGTATAAAACTGTGGAAGATATTAGAGGAGTTTTGAGTGATAGAAATATGACAAAAACTGTGGTTCCCACAGAACACTGATAATTAAGTAAAAAAAAAAGAGATATTTTTCACATTTATAGACCTGATAATCGGCAAGAAATAAAGAGTATACTTCAACTGAGTAGCCTAACATCACATCACAAAGATCAGCATGATAAGAGTAGAGAGCAGTTTCGAACTGCAGCTAATCTGTCAAAATTCCTGTAGAAATCGGCTAGATGACTATATGGATGAGAACAAGATTTAAATAGCGAGTAGGGGGTTAAAACCCCCTACTCACTACCCCCCCCCCCCTACACTACTCTAGCCTAATGTTTAACGCCGATACCAATACAGGTATATATCGTATATATCAAGATCATACAAGGAAAATACTCGACTTTCGACAGTCTTTACTAAGTAAAATTGAAGCTTGACCTGGCAAGAACGGTCTGCAGAAGTGCGGTGTGGTAATCGACCATATCTTGAGTGGCCATAAAGACGAGCATCTTGCGGTGCGCGCCGTACATGCACTTGCTGAGGATGAAGGCGAATAGCGTGACGAGTCTGAGCTTGGCAGGCACCAACGTGTAGTGATGAACCAACAAGCCCGGCGTCACGGCGCTCAGGTCGTCCAAGTTGCCGTCGCCGCTCACGTCTACCACCTCAGGGCTGTGTAAACTTAGACCTGTTCATTGGGAATAAATGTTAGCACTTCAGAGGAAGGTAGAATGTTGATTCTACGGGGGAGGGCTTAAATGTTGAATCTACAATAAAAAATGTTGAATCTTTAAGTAATGTTGATAAACTGATAGGGTATTATAACCAAACTGATACCATTGTTTAAACTGATAGGGTATTATTACCAAAATATATCTAAACTTTAAAGTTACCATTTAGGCAACGATAAGGCCGAGAAACTATAACTGCATTTAGCTGAATAAATAAATTCTTAAATTTTAACAAAATTAATTCTTATTTGTGAAGTATGAAACACAACCAACCTGCAAGCCTCTGCACTTCCTCGGTGAGCGTGGCAGAAAGCATGATTGTCTGAAGCGCTGCTTTGCCATCTTTTGGCTTCATACTGTTATTTGTCATCATAGCTATTGCCTCTGAATTATTGCTCTTGAATTTCTTGCTTGGATTAGATTCCTGTTCGGAGTCTTCTTCTTCTTCATCTGCCATCCTACGTTTGCTGGCATCTTTTATGGTGACAGCCTCATGCTTACTAAGGAACCGCTTCTCGTCACCATGAAGTTTAGCTTCCACGAGAGCTTCCAAGATGCCAGATATTGCTTTCTCATAGCCCATTTCCAGCATGCGATCAGCCTCGTCCAAGACGAAGAACTGCACTTGGCTGAGCTTGAGGCACTCGGTTGTGCTGATGTGGTCCTGAAGGCGACCTGGCGTAGCAACTAAGATATTCACGCCACGACGCAGACGATGTTTCTCGGATTTCTTTTTTTCGCCACCAATCAAGTATCCAGGAACAATGGAAACGCATGCCTGATGAGAAGAGTATAAAATTAGAGTAATATCTTTCGGTTTTGTTCACTAATGCAATTTGAACGAAATTTTACATGTAGAATCAAAGAAAAAAAGTGTACTAACGATTACACCTTGTTTCAAAAACCATGCAGGTATTCAAACACAACAGTGCACATCAAGAGCTCTACCCGTTATCTTTGGGTGGCTGTTGTACAGTTTTTCTCTCAGAAAGCTTTCATTTTGAACACAAGTCTTACAATTTCTCAGTAATAGCGAATAGTGAGAACCGTGTTAATGTGGTCTGTTTGACACGGACAGGTCCCTCAACTAAAATTGAATATTTACGAATGTAGAGCAGAAAATGTTTAAGATTCATAACGAAATACTTGGGTTTTTTGGGACACGCAAAGATCGATTGCATTTGCAATAAATATTATTAGCAATTTTAATTAAAAAATAAATATTGCAAGCACAAAAAACTTTATGAATACCAATGTAATATAAATACAAATTGCCAAACTTAGCAGGATGCAACTAAGTGACAGTAAAAATAAGTACTTATAATGGGAACAATGAAATTAGAGTTGTATAGAATATTGACTGAGAGCCATGAGGTATTAGAGTAACGGAAAGCCATATATTAGAGTAACTGAGAGCCCAAGCCAAACATTTCCACTATGGCCAACCTGTAATGGAGCTCGTACACAGCCATATGTAAATTATGCAAATTATCTTCACTAGAGGCATGGCAGAAATGAATAATCCAGCATCTTGGAACGCTCGACCTTTGTTTCATGCCTGTGGACGTCTAATAATCTCGTAACTTGTAAATATATTGCCAGTACTTTGTTTTTCTAAGGCATAAACCAGAAGATTACATTAAAAACCATGTTAATTTTCCTAGTGGTTATGACAAAGAAACTAAGCTGCTTAGCAGACCCTGCAGAGGTCCTCCAGCCAGCGGTAGGTCTGCAGGGCAAGCTCTCTGGTGGGCACAACAACGAGGGCCAGCACTCCGGCGCTGCGATCAACTCGAGGTGTCCTCTGTCATAATAAAGGAAAGTTGTAATAAATTAATTTTAAACTAAATACGATGGCTAGAAAATAAAAACAATCATGATAAAACAACAATTTATTAAATACTAATTCGTCAATGTAGAAGCAGATAGTATAGATAAGACATGAAGGCCCGCACAAATTCTTACCGTGAATAAGGCATTAACAATAGGTAGAGCATAGGTGAGAGTTTTGCCAGAACCGGTTTGGCTCTTGATGAGAACGTCAGAGCCTTTGAGGATTGCAGGAATACCGCGTTGTTGCACTACCGTCAATGAAGAGTATCCCAATTTATTAACGTGAGAAACCTGAAAAACGAAGGACTCAGTAAAGTACAAGTCATGCAAGAATGTCCATTTTTCGAAAAATAATAATCTTAGTAACTATGTATAAAATCTAAAATACAAATTAAAAAGTAGCCAATACAATTAAAAAGAACCGAACTATGATGAAAAATTAAGTACCTATATATATTCACTATTGGTGATCATAAAGGATGAAAGATTATGAGGAAGCTCTAACAAATTCACAGAAAAACTCACCAAAACTGGATTGATATCAAGAGACTCGAAACTATCAGATGAAAATACTTCTTCTTGAATTGGAGACACATCAACTTTTGGCAGAGTGGGAATTTTTGGATTGCCGGCAAAAAGTGAAGAGACAAAACTTGACTGCTTGGACGAAGACTGGCTTGTACGATTTGCATGACTATGAGAATTGTCATCACGATGGCCATCAAAGTTATGATTGGCAGAGCTGGCCTCTGAGCTCTGACTATTCGTGGCTGCTGCATTTTCATTCACATTTTTGAAAGGAACTGCAATTGGGAATATTATATTACAACAAAAAACACGACAGGTTCTTGATATAATTTAACATAATTTCAATGAATCAATAGAAGCATTTTTAGCCCAAAAAAAAAAAAAAAGAAATTAAATTTTTGACTTAAACAAAGATAAATTTTATGCATCAAAATTAGTTACTAACCTTTTATGTTTTGCTTCTTATATGGTGATAAAATTTGTTTTACGCATGGTTTTGCCTGGAAATAAAAATAATGATTTGAGTTGCACATCAATTAGATAGAAATTTTGATGCACAAATGTTTCAACGTCATAACAAATGTAATATGAATTCTCACACTCAAAATACCCAAACAAGATCAAAAACATAAGTTAATAGAAAAGGAAAAACAGGCTCATGAGTAAATCTTACTTCTTTTTTCTTTGAGGATTCAGGAGTTATTTTAGAACTTAAAACATTTGTTGGAGGTTTGGCATTGTTTTCTTGAGGATCGCTAATAATTGGTTTGGAAGATTGAATTGAAAATGTAACTTTCTTGCCAGTAGTAGCACCATTGGAGAGATTTCGATGTGTGGGAGTTGTTTTTGATTTTGTAAATATTTTTGATGTTCTGTCGCTAGCTGAGGAAGTTCTACCAAGTTCTGCAAATATAAATTAAAGAGATTAACTTCAAATTGAAAAGATATTGGTTTCTACAAGTTTAAAATCTTTTCTCTATAATGAACATCCGTCCCACTATTAATTCAGTTATTTAAAAAATGTGCCTACTACTCATACTGATAGCTTTGGGATGCGTGATGATTCAAATGTCAAAAAGTATGACTAAAGAATACCAAGAACTGGAGAAATCAGCAAAAACTTGCCAAAATTGTTGATAACTAGAAAAATTTAGTTAACAATATATTCATCACCTATGAGTAACTGATAGCTTTACTCAAATGAATGATGTGCAACAAATTGTATGAAGTTATACATGAAGATTAAAATTTGATTTGTATTGCATAAATAGAAATTAAAAGAAAAATCATAATACAATTCACGTTAATTTAAAAACATTTGCGTAAATAAAATCAGGACTCCCAAACACTGTAGTGCATCCTACCTCCGACTGGTGGAGGTGCTGGTGCTCCAGCTCGGCGCACACAGAAGGATCCTGCAGGGCCTTTTGTCTTCTTTTTGAGTACAACAATAGGACCCTGAACTGCATTACCAGCTGCAGTCTGCAACCAAATTGGAAAAATGAGCACAAAGATATAATTAGATACTTTATAAATCATAAAGTTTAAAAACAATAGACATGAAAGTGTTCAGAAATTTTTGTCAGAGAGGCCAATTATCATTACTTAATATTTATTGTAGTACCGTAACTTCGAATATTACTTAATATTTATTGTAGTAACTTCAAATCCACTCTGTTTTGCTGGATCAATAATTTTTTAAAAATATACTTCGATTTCACTTGCAAGATTTAACTGAACATGAAATGTTGGAGCCTTGAAGATAAAAGAGTGAATGTCAAACTTTACAATCAGGACCTGTCCCAAGAAGCCATTTGCCAGAACTGATTAAACTGAACACTGCCATAAGATAAGACACTAAAACATGGGCATCAAGATTTTATGACAAGCATCTATTAATGTTTTTCATCAGACATCTAAATGATGAATCAGCTTGTGCACAAAATTGCAAGTCTTGTCATAATTAATCTCTTTATTAAACAATTACATGTAGATTGGTATCTGACATTGATATCAATCAGTGTCAGTTTGCCAGATTTATTCCACTTCAACAAAATTCTATAGTGTTCAAGACACTGTACCAATCATTTGCATAATTCATAACACTTGTAGTGACCTGCCCTAACCTAATCTTAATATATATATAAAAGAGTTTAATTAGTGATCTTCCATCTACGATCAATTTAATATTTGAACAACTGCAAGCAGCACTAAAGTTGCCACCCTTTAATAGAAAAAAATCTATTTTATAAACACCAAATTCTAGCAAAACCGAAACAGCTTTGTAGTGATTGTGTTATCAAATCCTACAGATTGTAATTCTGACCAGGATTACATGGTTTTTATTAATGAGCACTGTGGTATGTCCAGTTTCTGCTGAACGGCAACTCAGGCTTGTAAAATATTAAAGTTAATTGCCGCATACAGAGCATTTCTGCCATTTTTGGAACCACAATATTCCTGCTAGATAAATTACCTTCTATCTAATTGCTACCAAATGTTCACATTGGGCAGTGAGATTCTAAATTGCAAAGGTATTGAAAATTTGTCACTTCAGGGCCACAAGATATCTAGATATTAAATTATGAAATTTCCATTTCTAATTTCCAATCCTATGGGAATTTATGTGTCATTGATGGTAATTGTTATCAAATATGCATGATCAAGCTACAAGACTCCTCAGTAATCAAAAATATATCACTTTGGTCTGGAGACACAAGATTTCAATAGTCATTAATGAACTTCCAATTTTAAATTACACTCAACACCCAAACAGGAACAGAATTAGACAGAAGCCATCCATAATTCAGAGAAAAAGGGTAATGACCCCTGAATTAGGCCAATTTTACTCATTTGCTGTTCCTATGGCTTTATTTGGAATATCAGTTAGAAGTTTTCTAAAAACACCGGTACAAAAATTTGTCTCATGGGCAATTTTCAAAAACAAAAATTGCTGGTGAAAATAGGCTATTTCCCTTATATTTCACTGTAAAAATTGAGAAAAAGCCATAGGAATTGGCATGGTGGAAAGACAGTGATTTTTTTAATCAGTTCACTTTAAATTTCCACATTTACTCAAGATTTAAACCAATATCTTATCTATAATAATGCTGAGATCCATGATACTTTGCTGGCCTACCTATAGGACTCGAAGTTAAACTTGAAGAAGAGTCTAAAAAGCTCTCTGCTTTGCCACTATGAACTGTCACTGGTATCTAAGATAGTTACTTATACTAGTCGCCTTATAGGACTCAAAAATGAACTTGAGGAGGGCAACAAAAAATATTCTTCTTTGCTACAATGGGAACAGGTAAAGTCAGCCAGATTTCATGCATTTTTGCCAATTCACAGTCAGCGTCATGGCCTTCACCCATGTGGCAAAAGACAAAATTTTGTATTACTCTTCCTCAAATTCATTTTGAATCTTTTAAGTAGAGTTAGTAGACTAGTAAGTATATTGGATACAACTCATACCAGCATCATTATACATATAAAATTGAAAAAGTATTAGGACAAGTATATTAAAAATAAACTGATTCTAAAAAATCTCTGGTTTGCTACAATATCTTCTGCCATATTTTCCACTTAGACCAAGATGGTAGACATAGTGGCAGGACCGCTCTACACTTGACGACAGGGGGGAGGGATTGGGGGGTGCAATTCAAGGGCCATGCAAGAGTGCTAATTGGTAAGGAAATGGCAGTTTTAGATGCTGCAGTGCTGTAGTCACTAGTCAGTGTAGTGCACTAGTCCAGGGTGTTCCAGTATCTGGTCCTTCTCCATGGCATGAGCTCCTATTTTGGCCACTGCACTTCCAAATTACATAGGTAATTGGTCACAGATACTAGAGTTAGAAGGCAATCAAGGCAGGCAAGGAATTTATCTACTTGGCAAGCTGTGATGGTGTCACTGAATTTTTTGAGCCAAGGTTTTATGGGTTTGCCAGCCTTGATTCCACTTATTCGAGCACTGATTCCATTTTTTTTTTATCCGCAAATTCCATATCAATGATATTTCAGCCATGGAAAGCCATTTACAAGCCACAAACTTATTTTCGAAGTCCTGTGCACGTGTTACACCAAATCATAATTTTACCCTATAAAAAGTCATCAAACAGCAACCCTAACATTTGTCTTCACTTAAGTGGCAACTGAACACGTGATATTGCAATCTAACTGCTCTGATGTGACCGCAACTATGCAATCTTCAAGGAAACATTTTGGATGTTGAAACAACATGTTTGCAAAGTGCAAACCGTGATTTTTTCAATCAAACAAAAATACATGACATTAGAGCTGCAAGATTTCATACCTACTAAAATCATATGATATTAGAGCCACAATATTTAAAGAAAAAAAAAGGACTTTTCCAGCCCTGAATTATCAAGACATTTACAATGCCGCATATTGAAGGCTAGGATGCTAGGTCCTAGCCTCCAATGAAAATTCATAAATTTTTAGTGAAAATTATAAAAATAGCCCATTATCTTCTGCTATTTTTTAAAATTATAATTGAAACAATTATTTTTTGCATCTGCACTCAATTCCAAAAATTTAAGAAACATGTCAGGTTTTCCAAATTTGCAGCAAATCTCAAAGTTTTTTATTCTAAGACAATTTAATTTCAATAGACACTTACGACTTACCAAGTTTGAATGTGTGGCAGCAGTTGCACCAGCCATGTGTATAAAAATTGAGTTGGAACTCATTATGACTCTCAATTGTGACAATTCTAGAAGGCAACTTTGCAAGGACTAACTAAAATAATACCATATGCTTTTAAAAATTAATTTTTAAATACAACACTTCTTAAAAGACCAGTGTCTCTGATATTACATAGGTACATACAATGAATTTCTTATTTTATTTTTAGATATTAAAAAAATATTTTTTCAATTTTTTCAATATAAAAAAAATTTAACTTTTTTAAAATCATGTATTTTCTCAAGTCTCAACATCTTAAACTCTCAATTGCTTCATGCATTGTCTCCAACTTTAAGCAAGTGTACCTTACAGTACCTACAAGATTTCAGATTGATTGGACAGGTAGAAGTAGAACTTGTAGATGTACATGTACCTAGGTCCTAGAAGTGTGTTATAATAGGTAGTACCTAGCCTACCTAGGTAGATTAGATATAATAGATAGTAAGATTTGTAGCAGACTAGCAGTGATAAAATAAGCAGTCTAGCAGACAAACAAACAACAAGAAGTGAAGTTAAAGAGAAGTCTTGTAAACTTGTAATAACTATGGGCCTACTACCTACTACTAGGGAGTCTCCACTAGACACTAGTTAGTTTTCAAGTTCAACAATCACTGATTTTTACAATATTTTTATCTTATTTTCACTGTGGCAACTTTAAAAACCAAAAAGTAGCGCAACTGATTTAGTGGCTTACTAGAGTGAGTTACCAGTTACCTACTCCAAAAGCCCTAAGAATCATAAATGGCATTAAAACTTAATCAGACTGAATCAGACAGGAGACTATGGGTTTTATTTGTTAGTTGTTACGACTATAAAAAATTAAAAGGGCAAAAACTCAAACTGTCATCAAAAAACGATCTCTGAATACAAAAACAGCCTATACATAAATAATAAAACTCAACGAAAGTGCTATCTAAACATCGCCATCCACTTATTGCATTGTACACGTAACAACTTGTTAACTGCCGTGAAGCCGTGTTTGTGGCTGCTGATTAATAACAACTTCCTCCTGTCACCTATTACCCGATCTCCGAGGTAACTTGTGAGATCCTGTTGTACAACGTGTTTTTTTTTTCCAAATTTGCGGGGGCCTCTGAAGACCAGTCCAATGCGGCCCCACAACAGAGTTTTGAGTTATAATTGTTAATCACTTTAATCAATCACTTCAATCACTTTAATTAATCATTTCAATCACTTTAATTACTTCAATTAATCACTTTAATTAATAGGCTCTTTATCATTAATCATTAAAATCCTGCCTAACTCAATCTGCCTGCCTAATTTGAACTCTCCCTAGCACCTGTTGAAGAGAACACTCCACGG